GCTGACCTAAACACGATAATCTCCGATTTTAAAAAATATTAGTCCCGCTTATCTAAATAGCTGCCTCGATTTTCTTATCTCAATTTCTCTCGTGACTGACCTTTTTTATTATAAATATGGTACTTTTTCACTTCAACTATTCGTAATAAATCTTAAGCCGTCTACACACCACCTGCCTCGATTAGCCTTGCTATTTGCAGGTGGTGTGATATTTGTATATTTAATGTAAGAAATAAAGATGTTGTTGTTGTTGTTGTTTGTTGTTGTTGTTAGTAGACATTGAAGAAAAATAACGATTGCATGCAAATTTCATTTTTTTTGAGAGGCTTAAATGTGTTGGAAACGACTAGACACTTTCTTTACACTCACCGATGGTTAGCTTAAATAAAAAGAGTGAGTCATTAATAAAGTACTATATCAAAGGTACGTGTGCCTTTAACCGTAAGTTACCACGTACAACAGTAACTTACGAGAGTGCTAAGTGCGTTCCATGCAACACCCGTGAGTGTACCCATACTTAAGGTTTTATGCAACAGGGCCCTGGATTCCAGTCGTTAGTGAGATTTCAGGTTCTACGAGCTGTACTCCGGATTCCAAAACCCAGGATTCCCGATTCCACAAGCAAAAATTTTTCCCGGATTTCGGAATCCGGACTCCCTTACATGGAACGACTAGGAAATGTGGTCCGGCGCCTTTGCTACTGCGCCTACATGTCACGATTTGTACAAACCTCTATTTGGTTCCAGTCTAGGTTTAAGGATTAATCATTTTTAAAAGCCCTAATATCCACGATACAAATTCTCTCTAGACTGATCGCTAAACATTTCGTTACCGATTTAACCTAGAGAATTCATTTAAAGACCAAGTATTTTGTATTTTTAGGTAATCATTTTGTGCACTGGTTCTTGCGAAAAAGTGGCCACCTGTTAAAACTGTTAAAATTTAATGCTCATGGCTGTTACAGATTGTAGTACGGCGTCGATTCGCTAGTGAAAGGTAGCTGAGCTTAAAAAATAATAATAAAATAAAGTAGGACAGTTTCAATGCTAGAAATGGGGTTATTTTTTAACGAAAACTCAGTGCTATAAAAAAGCCGAAATACGAGAGGTTTTGTAATTACTCGTGACGATTGTGGTTTTTAATTTGCGTTGCCATAACAACATCCTGCGATTGGCGCAGGCAAACTCTTAACAGAGCGAGTAAGTGTTTGAGGGTGGGAAAAATATGAGAGAGGTGGATTAAGTTTCCTGGTCTTAGTTAATGTAGATAACGCAAACAAGAGCATCTTATTTCATTGATTGTTTTTTTTAGAAAAGGTTAATAACTCTGAATTAAATTCAGTCTTCTAGCTGTTAATCTGCAAGGTTTTGAAATAGAAGTTCGCTGAATATTTATCAGACATCAGCTAACTACACATATATTCGACGATCGTGTCGATGCAGCCGTAATGACATTTCCTCGATTAAGAACAACAAACAACATGTTTTACATCACTTAGCAAGGATCTCATTTACATGTCCAGCTGGATTTACTCAACTTCCGTGTAGAGATTTTACGTGGTTTGTAAACAACTGAAGGTTTTATATGTCGAAATGGAGGCAGAATTCAAGACTTACTTTTACTTCACAATCGAAAATATTAAACAATCAAGCCTCCTTGTGCTATAATCACCCCTCGTAAGCGACCACCTCCAATAAGCGAGCATCTAAAACACTAAAATTTTCGCAGTCAAAGACTTAAAGTTGCAACTTCCCGTAAACGACCACCTCTCGTAAGCGTCCGCGATAACATTCTAGGATGGCGATTTTAGAATTTTCTATTGTTCTTATAACCACATCTAGGCGACCACCTGATATAATGGTCCGGGCCTGGTTGCATAAAAAGCCCGACAACTACGGGTATACGTACGTGCACTCGCAACTTAAGTGAGCGTAAGTGTTCACTTAAGTGTCGTTTATGCAACACTGAGAAATTGCGGATGTTGCATAAAAACTTTTTTTACGGGAAAAATAGCACGTAAATTTACGGGACCTATGTAGGTCTCCTATCGTTACTGTTTTTACTTAAGTTAACGACATCTATTCCTTAGAAGTGCAAAACAATTTTTTTTTCTTTACGTAATTCGTTCTAATGCGCTTTGTTAACTTCTGATGTATACTTTAAAGCCGTCGTTGAGGAAAAAGAAGAACAAAAATCATTTCAGTAGATATTAAAGTAAAATAACGATTGCATGCAAGTTTTATTTCAATGAGAGGCTTACAAGTGTTCGAAACGACTGGACACTTTCTTTACACTCACCGATGGTTAGCTTAAATAAATTGAGTGAGTTATTAATAAAGTACTCTATTATATATGTACTGAGATTTACTGCAAAATGAATATGTCAAATAAAAATGATGCGTTGCAGAGTACACGCAATCTGATTGGTTGTACGATTTTTCTCACTAGTGAAAAATACCGTATGACCAATCACAACCCGCAGACGAAAGTTTTCACTAGTGACAAAAATCGTATCGATTTTCCCGCCTTTCACTGACGGCGTCACTAGGCAAAAGGAAAACCATGGCGTCTTCTTCGAGCAATTCAAGGTTTGCAGATATAACTTCAGTAGAGGAATTTATTGAAGGACAAGAAAACGAAAACACCAGGAAGAAAACTGAACAGAATGTTGCTTTGCTTAAGGAGTTTTTGAGGCTAAAAGATGAGTCAAGGCCTGTAGAAGAAATTCCCCCACACGAACTGAGTTCATTCATCAGCGAATTTATCATAACAGTAAGAAAGAAAGAAAACAACGAAGATTACGAACCCACTTCCTTGCGTGCTATGATGGCCAGTTTTGAACGGTATTTAAAGAAGAAGAATTACGGCTACAGCATTATGAGAGACGTCGAGTTTGAAAAAGCACGAACGGCATTAAAATCAAAACAAAGAGATCTCAAGAAGAAAGGCAAAGGCGATAAACCAAACGCTTCAGTTCCCCTCACAGAAGACGACATAAAACTGCTGTATGACAAAGGATTGTTAGGAGAGTCAACTCCTGAGGCTCTACTGAATACAGTTTGGTTCAACAACACAGTCTATTTCGGTGTCCGTGGTTGTAAGGAACACAGAGACATGTGTTGGGGCGATGTGCAACTACGCCAAACTACAAATGACGAGGAATTTTTAGAGTATACTGAGAGACAAACTAAGACTCGAACCGGAGAAAATCCCAGAGCTGTCAGGCAAATAAAACCGAAAATGTTTTCGGTTCAGGGAAGTGAAAGAGATCCCGTCACTGTTTACAAATTCTACGCGGAGAAAAGACCGTCGGAAATGAACGACAACAACGCGCCATTTTATCTAGCAGTAAATAACTGTAAAAAACAAGATTCTTCTAAACCATGGTTTAAAAAGTCAGCCGTTGGCGTGAACAAGCTGAATTCGTTAATGAAAAAAATGGCAGAAAAAGCCGGGCTGGGGCCCAATGTAAAGAACCATAGCGGTCGCAAAATAATGATCCAGACTTTAACAAACAACGACATCCCAGCGACAGATATTATTCAACTGTCGGGACATAAAAATCTTCAAAGTGTGACAAATTATTCTGTAGTTTCTGAAAAACAGCAAGTAAAAATGTCTCGTACTTTAAGTGAACTGATGTCCGGGAATGTGCATAGCTTAGAGAAAACTAATTCATCTCAAGTTGGAGAATGCTCCACTGATCCTTCAGCTAGCTCGGCGGGTCGCTCGGCGGCAGATCATCACCAACAAGCGATGTCGCTTTTCACGGGCGCTGTTATTCATGGAGGTCAATTCAGCATTTCTATTAACAGCCTCAATCAATCCCCGAAGTTGGCAATCCAAGAAGTTGAGGTAAAGTCTTCTCCAAAGAGGTACAAAAGGCTAAAAGTACTGGACTCTGACTCTGATTAGAATGCATGCATTACTATAATTAGATTTACAAAACAGTCAACTTTTTCAAATTTTATATCTTAGTTACGGTTTTGAACGGCGATATTTAAAGCTGAAAATTTTCATTGTTATTTAAAGTTAAAGAATCGTTTAAAAGTAGACTTTGTTCACCTTTCTTCAGAGTCATTGAATAACTTTAATGTTGTAGGAAGTTTTGTACGTTCAGTTTGCTCGAATAAAATCATTCGCAACTCGTTGTGGTCTTTGTGTTGATTTCACCGCGCAATTGATAGTTGTTAACATTATTTTGTAATATCTCAGTACATATATAATAACGAACTGAAGAAGCATGGCTGGACATTGGAAGCTGGCAGTTCGCAGGTGTAACATTTCACTAGCGTTAATTTTACAAATAGAAATTACTAACTGGTGTCTTTTAGATACATATAGTTCCAGAGAATTGCTCTCTTGTTTTGTTTTGTTTTTTTTTTTTTTCGTATTCGAAGTAAAGAGAATTCTGAATGCCTCCCCCTTTCCAGAATTCGATCATTCGAAGCCCATAACTAGCTCTACAGATAAATTAGAATAATATCCACACAGTATTCCCATGAAACGGAGAAGGCCGCGTGGCTGAGTGGTTTAAGAGCGCTGGACATGTAATCCGGAGGTCCCGAGTTCAAATAAGTCAATTACCACCCTATCTACATGCTTGATTGTTCTCGTTAGTCTAGTGTTCAAATGCTTAGTCCATTTTTTTTAAATAGCCAAATGGTTCGCCTCCTACCAGTTGGGATTCTTAACCATGTTATGTTTCCTTTGAATTAGCATTTATTCTCATTAACCCTGAAAAGCCCGATAAGGGGAGATGATTATTGAGCATTTATTTTTAAAACTCTCTCACTTTCACTGAGAGGGAATGATGGAGTTTTGTAACTTGTGGACAAAATTCTGTGAAGTTACCATTCAAATGAAACCTCCCTGCCTGTACTTTCACATTCAAGTTGTGCTATTCGTTTTTTCAGCATTTTACAAAACGAAATTTGGAAATTCTTGTCGCACTTTGCCACATTTGGCAGCGAAAGGGTTATAGAACGAAACACTTTTGATCATTTAGACGTTTGACTCACCGGAATAAAGAAGTGATGAAACTCTTTGCTGGTGTTGAACTTGTCTGAGTTGTTAAACTTGTCCGATGGCAGGAGTTCGCAGAGACGTTTGTTGTTGACATCAGGGAGAGCAGCCACGTTGTAAGAAAAACACGATGGAATTTCTAGGCAGGCGTAGCCACAATCGTTTTCGTCTTGAATAAGACTCCGTCCAATACTTGTGATATTCAGGTAGGAAAATTGATCGATCATGAAGTTGACATAAAACAGGCCACCAATCGATCCTTGGCTGAAAGCTTTTCAAAAGAAACGAGGACACAAAGATGTAAGCTCGAGGAATGAGCTTGAAGCATGTTCCAAATGAACTTGGCTATTAAAAACATAGTGTGCAATACAAGGTAAAGTTTTACCTCTAGAATGACTTGGAAAGGCAGCAAAGATCCCCAGTGTGAAGACATAGCATCTGGGAAGTACTGGAAAGCCTACCATCCTTGTTAGAGTTGCGGCCCTTTACCTTGATTAGCCTTGTTAAAAGGTTTGTCCTTGGTTGAAAAAGCCTTCAGTTTTCATTTAGGTCTAAATGCAGTTATCAGCCTCCGGCTTACTGTCAAAACAGACTATGATTAAAAGCACTGCAATGCGGTATTTCAGTGGTTCGTTGACAAATAAATTATGCCACCTGTCGTTGATTCGCTAGGCCGGTACCACTTTTTAAAGCAAGAGATTGCCCTAAGTCAATAACTCCAACCACGTAGCTATTGTCATTTAATACCAATATCAGTGTTTACGCAAATATTTTCCCATACACTACCAACAAAAGATAGTTCTTTCTTTATCTGCCCCCGTCTTTTGATGACGTTAATTTCGTGAGCAAAGATATTTTGACAATATCATTTTACTTTGTTACCTCTCACGCGACGCACGGCAACTGAGCGTATAAGAAAACGGATAAAAAAAGACAGAGGATTCAGTGAAAGTTGACAAAATATATATAAAAAATGAATAACAATAAAGAATAAAAGAAAGAAAGAAGAAGAACGGCTTGCCCAGAGAAACAAAATGGATATCAAACAGCCAAACACCTGTTAAAAAACACTCATTTACGTAAAAGAAAGATTAAAAATTTAAGAATTTGTTCTAGCCTGCGTGGCCGGCGTTTTAAAAGGGAAGGGCCTTTCCCTTCTCTTTCAAACGCCTGCCACGCAGGCTAAATTTGGTCATGCTTAGCGTGCGTATATCGAGTTGTGGATGCACGCGGGAAGTTTGAGGAGCACGAAAGATGCACGAAAGATGCTTCTTGAGTGCTCTCCAAACTTCCCAAGTGCATCCATAACTCGATATACGCACAGCTAAAAGCATGAGCAAATTCTTTTATAACATAGCTGCCAAAAATGCTTGCTTTTCGATTAACTACAAAATTCTCGTAACGCGCGACACAATAACAAACGTTTCTATTGGCTGATTACAAACACGCCACAATGGTCTAGTTTGAATGAAAATTCTTTCTGTAAAACTGAGAAAGAAAATTTGCTTATTCATTCGTTAATGATCAGTGAAAACTAAAAAGAAACAAAGGTAAAAGAGTCTTAAAGTCCACCTAAAGTGAAAATACTCACACGTTCGTAAGTGGTCGAGGAGTATGGTTTGGATTTGCTTAAAAGATGTTTATGTTTTGCTCGGCGAAATCCAGAAAACTTGTTTTTCAGCGAAGAGGACTGTCATCCTACGTTAACCTTATATTCATTTACGAAAAATGGTTGGTCATTACGG